GTGCCCGTCTGCCTTACAACGAACTTGGCACAACGTATACAGTATTAAGATATCCGGAAGACGTTCATGCTAGTGTTGCCACTATTCCTACAACCCTGCGTTTTATGGCTCGCGATTGTGATCCCGCGACGGGTGTGCCAGATGCTGATCAAGGATACAACGATGAATACATGGTGTATATTTTCTCCATACTTTTGAAATTCTCCCCATACTTATTTTCACATAGTGTTGCAATAAGTTTCGCTAGAAAAAAAAAAGACTTAAGTCATTCAAAATATCGTGATTTTTAGCTGGAAGATTTGGAGATAACTTTGGCCGATCAAGTCCGAGGTATCGGAAACAGGGGAGTAGATTTCAATGCTGCGTGGGAAGCAGCTGGCGCTAAAGGATTCACCAAGCTGGAGGAAACGTTTGCTCTAGGCTCGTCGGTGACCAGTTTGGAAGGGGCGATCCAGAGTCTCACAGGATTTTTAGGCTTGGATGCCGTAGAGCGAACCAATCGAGTACAATCCGGCGCTGCCGCGCATAATTTATTATTGAGTGGCATTTTCAGAGGCGGAAAAGAGATTCTTGCCAGGGCGAGGCTAGCGTTGTCGGACAATCAAGTAACAATGCAACTCACTGTCTTATGTCAAGATCCAGACGTTGCCGAATTGATTATTTCTTCCGTAGGGTAAATTATTGTCATTAGACCTCGATTGGACGCGTATTACAAACTTTTTATTTTTAATATTACAAGTATAATTGTTGTGTAAAACATAATAATACGAAACGGGACTTTTGTTGAATCCCTGTTTCTATATGTTATACTTTGTACATAAAATTATAAAACAATTCTGTAAACAATTTCCCTTAAAATATTTATTCCTTCTCTGTACTAAGCTTAAATCTATTAATGACATTGATTGGTATAATTTAGACATTGTTTTTTTTTTTTAAAGATTCTTTAAGATTTTTTTCCTTTATACGTGTAATTAGCTGCGGGCAAAATAGAAACACGTAATTCAACAATTTTTATTTGATCGGTCGATAAAGATATTTTCTACAAATTCAACAATTTTTATTTGATCGGTCGATAAAGACATTTTCTACAAATTCAACAATTTTTACTTGATCGATAAAGACATTTTCTACAAATATGAACATCAAACGAGACGATTAATTTTCCAAGATTATCGATCGAGAGAAAAAAGATAAACACTCTGTTAAACAATAATTTTAAAAGGCAATATCATGTTTAAAGAGACGTAATCGCTTCCTAATTACATTTTTTTTTTTTTAAATAAAGATTTTCTCTTGTTTTTCTGATGCTCGATTTATAAACGATCGGAATAAAATTTACCGCGTTCCAACAGGAAATTCGTATCCAAGACAAGTGCAGATTGCAGATTCCAGTTTCCACTGGAAACATATATATTATATTATCTCTATGTATGAGATATCTATGATCGATAAGTATCGAAGGATCATACGTACCGGCATCATCGAACTAACGATTCTGAAGAACGACTCTCACCTGAAACAGTTGCGGTTTTACCTTTGCGAGTCATACACGTGTGCTACTCCGGTCGTATCAACGCCGAAATTTCCTCCGTTCGTCTGTGTAACAAGCGAAAAATTAACTATTTGCAATTGTACGTACATAATTTTATCTAGCGCGTATAAGCGTATTTTTGTCGTAACAAAGTGATAACGAATTTTCAAAATAAATATCTGATAATAATGCAGGGACTCTTATCGCATTTTGTCGGTTGATAACTCGATTAATTGATTCCTTGTAACATCGATGATTAACAATTGCTCTCGATAGAGTAGTAGCTAGTATTTTCCAGAATATAATTCGAAGAATTATTTTATATTTAATTGTATATTGTATTATATAATATTATATTAAATTTTTTATTATCATTAAATATTTATTATATGTATTTAATTATATTGTATTATATTTATATATATTTAATTATATTGTAATTCACGCGTCACGTCATTATGTCATATGAAATTGCAAACAAGCGCGTCGTGAATAATTTATTTTTCCTTTCTCAGCACGTGACAAGAAAAAAAAATACTAGCTTCTCGAGAGTTGAAAAATACCCGGCGACGTTGTTTCCTCGGTCAGTTTCAACATGACGAGACATCGAAGCCTGTTGTACTTCTTCTGCCTTCTGAGTTGCGTTTGTTTATTCGAACTTGTTGCGGCCAATGCGCCGTTGGTAAAAGTTCAGAATGGCACGTTGTTGGGCATGACCATGAGGACAAGAAAGGGCCGAGAGTTCGCTGGATTTCGAGGGATACCGTACGCGCTTCCACCCCTTGGTGAACTCAGATTCGAGGTAAGTAGGTCTGCAATTTCATTCAACATTGTAATGAAATCGTGTTTAGCCAGGCGATTAATTATTTTTTTTTTTTTTTTTTTTTTTTGCATTAACACTAGAGTTATCGGAGTGACTAATTTGTAATTGTTCGCAGAGACCTTGTGTATTTGTAGCAGTCTATTTTTACAGAGACTTGAGTGACTTTTAGTAAAATATATAACTAGAATATAGCTTGTGTTATGAACTCTTTTTCTAGTTTCTTTGCTACAAATTTTAATCGTCGGTTGTTCTAATTCTCGATTTTACCGTACATTTCACTGCGCAGAAATGTCCCTTTGCATGAATCTGTATTGATTAACGGACGAAATTTGTTCCAAATGAAATTACTTTTGCTCGCCTCTTTGCGCAGATATGTAGACGACGAGGATAACGAGGTTCATTACAAATTAACTTATGAACTTAAATATAGATCTTTCAGTACAACTGAATTATATAATAGATCCTCTCATATTTTCCTCGACGTTGTCTGGTTAAATATGCCTGAGTAAGCATGACGTGAATTCTCATGACCAACGTTCCCCATATTCGACTGTAATATGTTAAGCAGAAGTTTCGAGAACGTATAACTATTTTATTTTTTTACCTAAGAACCAGAAACTTGTTTGCGTCGAATGATACAACTGAACATTTACGTTACGAAAGACAGGCGAGCACATTCAGCTCACTTTAACAACTCATCGTAAAATACGTAGAATCGAGCTTAGTTATTTATTCACGTCGTATTTATTTATTAATGTAATTGCGTATACAGTTTGCATAATACAGTTTGCGCGTTACGTTCATAACACTGTTTTTCATTACTCAATATTACTCTTACGTTTCTCAGAGATTTCTCACCTTTCTCTTAATTCTCTCAATTTCGTACCTTTAAATTCTTACTGTAAAAACACTAGTTATATAATAGTTATATACTAGTTATATAATACATAAAGAAAAACATTTAACTCCTGATTAGCCTCTTACAATTAGTTGTGGTGTCGCTTTAAAAAATGTATATATATATATATATATATA